TGCAGAATGGCCCGCCCCATACATCCCACCAGTGGCAGCGCTGGGGTAGGCTACAGCCATACCAAGAAATGGCTTAGTCCCACCTTCGCCCCACCTTAGCCCCATCATGAGAAATGATGTTAAAGTAAGCAAAATAAAGTCCGCTAACGCGCGGAGTAAATTGCACAGACAGCAGTTAGTAAGATTGATTTCAGTAGCCACTTGTCTGGAAATACCGAAGACTAGAAACGGTTTTGAAAACTTTTGTCACGGGATCTTCTCAATAGAAGATCTTTGATATGTCTTCTGGCCAATCAGAATCAAGATAACGGCGTGGTGTTGTTGCAGGAAGTCCCGACGGAGAATACTTTTGCTGTAGTACATCTCTATGTTCATCGATACAACATTACGTAATGAATTAAGACCCCACGGTTTGATGATTGATAGGTGTGTGGGCTGTCTTTCATTTTGACACACAGAACAATGTTATAATAAACATACTGTATGTTAAATGGATATATCCGCCTTCTTTCATTTATCTTTCCATTCCCACAACAATATACATAAAGAAATGGCATATTTTGGACATAGTTCGAATGGTGATTAATCTGATTAATTCGTTTTTAAACTGTGATTAATCTGATTAAAAATGTTAATCGTTTGACAGCCCTAATATATATGTTATTATTATTGTTGTATGTTTGTTTCTGACATGTTCAATAAATTGACTAAAAAAATCAAATAAAACCTATTTAATTCTAATAAAATGACTACTCATATTTACTGCATGCATATATTTATCAATAAACACTGCAGCGTCATCAAAATGTCTCCATCTCTTCTACTTTGTTGTGTTCTTTCCTCCACCTGACGGCCAGCTGGAAGAACAAACACAGTGACTCAGGATTCCTCCCTACCTGTTCCTGTACGTCTTCGAAATCCGAGCTGAGCATCTCTATGAAAATGGGCACAGCTCCTGCCTGGATCACCACCCGAGTCTGATGGGATGTCCCCGATGCGATGTTAGTCAGCACCCACGCAGCCTCAAACTGAAACATAATCAGAATATAGAACATTTATTACATGTTTATCACTGTGGTTATTTTTTAATTGCTGAATGTTATCCCCCCCCCTGCACAACACAAACATAATCCAAATGTCCCCAGCTTGATTGAAGTTGTGCACACCTGCAGACTGTGGAAATGTACCTGAAGTGTACAGTTTTCTTTCCTCTTCAGGAACTCAACAAAGCGCTCCACCACACCTGAAGTGGCGATGACTTCATCGATGGGCGGGTTGGGTTCTGTGTGAGGCAATTTTCAGAAAATGAGTTTAGCAATTATCAAAGCATTATCCTGAAATCAATGCATTAAAACAGATGAACTTTTACCTTTAGAAAGCAGTTTCCTGAAGCGCTGAGTGCCTATTAGCTGCTGCTCAGGACTACTGGAGAAGATCATCTGAGTCATGTCTTCAGAGATCACTCCACCCTGTACGGATCAGGAATGGAAATGTGATGAAACACAATGTTGTCTCCATATGTGTTGGGAATGACGGTGTTGTGTCCCTCGTCGTGAAATGCACCCCTTGACAAGGGAACGCGCATTTTAACGTATAGTCCGCTATTCTATGTTGTCTTTTTGATGGTTGCGTTGTCGAATCCTGGATTTTGCATTCATTCGTCACTTCTTTTTCAGTTAATTTTTTATTTAAAAGGTGGAGTAGGTCATTTTGGAGAAAGCAGCTCGAGTGCTCTAGAATTTGAAAATACACAGCCGGGAACAATCTGCCACTTCCTTACAGAGCCCCTCCTCCAACACACACGAACGCGCACATGACCAATGAGGGCACGAGATAAGTTTGTGCACAGATGGAAGGCTGACAGGCAGGTAGGCCATCCAGTTACTTTAGCCGGCTCAGATGATTGGTCGTGCTTTTTACAGCGCCACGGCTTCCACAGATGATATGTTTTATGGATTTTGTGTCAAAGCACTTCAGATATTCATTGCTATCGGGATGTTAAGAGCATTCCATGGAATATAACAAAAAGTGTATCTCGAGCCGGTTTCTCAAACTTACCTACCCCACCTTTAGTATATGTTTTTATTTAATTGTGACGTCCTGTCTGTATACTTGGGCTTTACAATATATTGTTTATCTTTACATCAAGTGCTTGAGGGTGGGATTAATAGAAACATTTTTATTTTGGGGGGTGCTTTTTATGAACAGCCTGGTTGCCACGATATGCACCCCTTGCTATCTCTAACAATAAACGTGTGTCACATACATGAAACTTGCTCCATTTATTGGTAATAGTCCTACAATTATACCCTCCAAAGTGCTTGAGGGTGGGATTAATAGAAGCATATTCTTTGGGGGGGGGTGCTTTTTACGGCAGGCCAGGGGGTGCATTTCACGACGAGGGTGCATCATTTGACACAACACCGGCACTGAAGGCACATGGATAGCAGGATTTTTTTCCTACCGTGTTTGGATCCATGTTGTTAGCCTGGGACTCCAGGTAGCCGCTATCCGCCATCCCATCCTCCTCGGGGAGGCCGTCATCCTCCACTGTGGCAACATTCCTCCTCTTAAAGAGCTATAAAGATTAAAAGAAAATATTTGTTCAGTATACTGCATCATCAATATTACACTGATAGGAACAGCATGGGTTCAAGTGTACTCGCTGACATGAGCAACACTGGCCGTGCAATCATTAAGTCTGTTTAAATTTGACCTACCTGGAGGATAATTCCACCTACACAATAATACATATGCCCACTGTGTTCACCTGTTCATCCTTCTTCTGTTTCCGAAGCTGTAGGCCTTCCTCTTCCCTCCTTCTTCTCATTTCATCTGTGTTGAGGGACTTGTTCTTGTAGCTCTTGAGTCGTGCATTATCCTTACCCTGACTCATTGTGTAGCCTGGAGAGATGCAGAAATACATGTTATTTAGACAGACTTAGGTAAGATTTGGGAGAACATTTTTTTTAAACTTCCTGATCTGAATATGAATCTTGAACTGATGGTTCGCCAAATCCTCTTTTAAATCACCAACAAAATAACTTGCAATGTTTTTTGGCACTATTTTATCCATCTTCTGTTTTTGATATTAAATATATATTTATGTTGCATCTACAGTCTATGGTTGCATCGTTGAAGGAGCATGGGGCTTTTCATTGCAAAAACTACACTATAGCTTCTGTGCATATGACAACAAAACCTTTGAATCTTGAAACAATGCAAGCATATATCATGTACGTTTAGGCATTAGAGTTGTCTGTATGGCACATCGCACCAGTTTCCGCATGTGTCATTTATAGGAATCGTCAAAAACAATCAGTAAATCATGTAAAACTACGCGGCATCATCCTCAGAAAACAGTTCAACAAACCGGGGCATCTGAGGATAATAGCTAGCTAGCTGGTTAGCTTTATTGACACTGCGTTGTTAATAAGCAACGAAACCTATAATCATCTAATGGCCGGGTGTGCTGCTTTCCCGTATCGATTCACAAGCTAGCAAAGCCCAAATAAATATTAAATTATTGAAGCAAAGGTAGACGGGAGCAATTTGTCAGATAGCTAATGTCATAGCCGTTTTTAACACAATAAACTCCAACCGTTGAAGCAGATTTTGAATGACCGTAGTGGCCAACAGTGGTACTAAATCTCAAGTGACGTCTTTTTTGCACAAAAATACTTTTTCTCATTATCTTTTTATTAACATGTCTTAACTAAAAGGTGATCTGAGAAGTAATTTAAGACAAAATACCCTGTAATCTCTCCATTTATTTGACTGAGCCTAGAGCAGGAGACGGGGCTTAGGTAAACCTCCAGTGCGCATGCTCAATGGGTCCACATACGGGTACTTCCGACTGCTCCAGCCGCTCCTTTTTTTGGCTTCAAGCGCCACTGAGAAACTCTCATAGGAATGAACGGAGTTTCCATGAATTCACTGCAGAAAAATAGTTAGCTAACAGTGGCTAACTGAACTAGCTCTGACATGTAACATTATCTCAAGCGACAAGCACAACGTTATTCAAATGTTGCAGACAGAAATAATGAAACAGCTTCTTATTATAAGGCTAAAACATACGAAGAGTCATCAATAAATGTAATTATTATCAACTGACCTGTCAAATTGGGCTCTATAATCCACTTTTTATTCGCTAGGCCACCGTTTGTACAGCCGTCGCCGGTATGACACTGCGCATGCGCGATGTCAAACTATCCCCCCCTCCGCATTTCCCCCCTCCGTCCCACCTACCAACCTAATGGTTAGAAATGGAGCCCTTTCTTCGTGCAACTTGCTGAACATGTGTAATACACTGTTAACAGACACACCCTGCATGGTTGGGTGCAGATTTAATTCCATGGCACAGAGTGAAAATACGCACAGCATGAACAGCTGCAGGGATTAAACCAGGATTAAACACAGATTTTCAGGACTACTTCAAGAGGTCTGCATCATGGTCTGCATGCATGCGTCAGCGCCAGCCCCTCAATTGTATGAAGGAGCATGCTAGGTGGCAGGTGCACGTGTTAATTTCTAACAATGTTCTTGTTTTTGAAGTGGGCCAGACAGCGGCCATCAGTGGGCCATCAGTGGCCCATCAAGATCGATGATCACTTGCATGACAGGCAGAAAAAAACATATTTCTAATTAATTATTATCTTTTCTTACGGTATCATCATGCAAGGCTTGCATGATCTTGAAAACATTGACCAACATATTCACAACATACACATAGGCCTAATAGATGTTAAAACACACACGTAAAACAGGAAAGAAGTAAGGAAAATAATATAAAAACCAAAATAATAATAATGAAAGATAATACAAACGATATAGTAGCTAACAATAATAACAGGCTAATCATAATAACAACAGCAATATAAAAACAAAACACGGGGAAATGTCAGGTGTCGTACTCAGCTCTGACTAGAAGGCCAGAGAGAAGAAGTGGGTCTTCAGTGAGGATATAAAAAACCCTAGGGTCTGGGCCGACCTCACAGTTTCTCTTTGTTCATCATCTAAAGGACTTTTATGACGATCACAGTTTCAGTAATATATATTTGTTTATTGACTATGTCTTTTAAGTTTGGGGTAAGTGTTTGTGTGTCTGGTGTGTGTGTGTGTGTGTGTGTGTGTGTGTGTGTGTGTGTGTGTGTGTGTGTGTGTGTGTGTGTGTGTGTGTGTGTGTGTGTGTGTGTGTGTGTTGGCTGGACAAGATATTAGCAATCCAGATCAGAGAGTGTCTGAATTCTGCCTGAACCCTCAGCAGGTGCACCAATCAAAGCCATCAGAAATGAACGTTGTGACCCTGACATAAAAGAATTCCCCAAAGAGGGCAGACACCCTGGTGGCGCCACTTTGCATCATCCAAACATTGTTGCACTTTAGAGGCCTGTATAAAAACGGCTCCAGCACAGTGAGCACACTTCGTATTTTCCCCAAAAATGACAGCAATGCAACGACAGGACCAGAGCCGCTTCGACATGTGGCATGACTACATGAACCTTGGCAGAGTGCTGGAGAGGCTGCGGGACAGCACCCGGGATGATGGGGGTCTCACACACACCAAGGGCACCGAGAAGGAAGCAGCATTCTCCGGGAGAAGACGAAACACCTCCCGGAGAGGGGAGCGTAAAGACTCCACGGAGTCCTGCTCAGTGAGCATCCAGTCGGATACCACCTGCAGCACCGGGACCTCCCCTGGATGCTGCCGCTTCTGTAAGCAGAACGGAGAGTCTGTGACGGTGTACCGGTCCCACATGCTGAAATCAGACGAAGGGAAACTGATCTGCCCCATCCTCCGGAGATACACCTGCCCCCTCTGTGGAGCCAGCGGAGACCAGGCGCACACACGCCGCTACTGCCCGCAGAGAGAGGCCGGAGAGGCGGCCTTGGTGCTGCTGGGCTCCCGGTGAGACAGAAGACACGGTACATGAACTCATGCTTATGAGTTCATGTTTACAGAGACTGATGGAGGTTCCTAACAAGTTTGAAGTTAAGTTTTTTCTATTGTCGTGTTTTTCAGCGTTGATTTGCAGACATTTTAAAAACTGCAAGAGCTATTTTTGTATATGTATTAGTTTATAAAGTGTAAAAATGGTTATCAAATATTGGACAAGTGTCAGTTACAGGAATTTAAAAACGGCCAAACTAAAGCTTTTGATTTATATTATGCTTCCTTGTTTTTTAAAAGTTTTTGAAGAACTATACAGAAATATTTCAAATCAACATTTGATTGACCAAACATGTGTTCATGTTCACAGAGAAAGTGTTTGACGTTGTTGCTTTTAAAATGATGACTGTTATTGTCAACACACTGTTAAGCGTTGAAAAAGTGTTATCAAAACTTGAGAAAAAGTGTAAATCATAGACTTTTTAAAACTCTTGTTTGTTTCAATTTTGAAGGAATAAATATGGGAAAAGTTACTCATGCTTGTTGTTTTTGTTCAAAGTGTCAAAACTGTGTAGGTTGTTCAGCTAAATATTTAATTTCTGTTGACATACATGGATACAGATCTACAGGCATATTTCAAAAGTAAATATGCAAATACTATATAGCTTCAATAGACACAATGAATGAATGTGAACTTGACCGATGATCACATGCACCTGCAGGATTACAGGCAGTCCGGCCCTCGACTAGTATACATTTATTTATTTTGACCCACTGTGTATTTGAGTTCGACCCCCCTGATCCAAAGGACTTTAATAATGATCACAGTTTCAGTAATAGATTTTTTTTTTGACACATTGACTATGACTTTTAAGTTTGGGGTTTCAATGGAGGTCAGAGAGTTTCTGAACTCTGGCTGACCCCTCAGCAGGTGCAAAAATCAAAAGCCGTCAGAAGTGAACTTGTGTCCCTGAGATGAAAGAACCCCTCCCCCAAGACAGACACCTGCACCGACCTTGAATGACAGGCAGAACAAAACCATCATATTTCGAATCAATTCTTCTTCTGTTATCATCTTAGAGCTGTGCATGATCTTGAACACATTGACCAACATATTCACAACACAGATGGGCCTCATAGACGTTAAAACACACACAGGTGAAACAGGAAAGAAGTAAAATAATGTAAAAAACATAATAATAATAATAATGAGAGATAATAAAAACGATATAACAATAGTAATGATAATACTATAAATCACAGCTTTCTCTTTTCTTGAAAACGATTGTTTCAAATATGTAACTGAGGAATATAAGGGGAGATAATAATACAAAAATAGTTTGAGCTTTTCCACACTGCACAGTTTCTCAGAAGTGAACTTGTGTCCCTGAGATGAAAGAACCCCTCCCCCCCAGACAGACACCTGCACCGACATTGCAGCATCCAAACATTGTTGCACTTGAAAGACCTGTAAACATATCGCTCCAGCACACTCTGCGTATTCTCCCCCAGGACCAGCACTTTTAAAGCCTTGAAAATGTTATCAAACCTTGCAAAAAGGGTCAATTACAGGCATTTTATTTGTGAAATGGTGGTTTAAAAAAGTAAACTACACATATTTTCAAATCAAAATATGCAAATATAGCTTTACTAGCCATACATTGAATTGAGGTCAGATGTAAAACAGTTGGATAACGTCTCTAAAACTGAAAGCAAGTCATCGTTTCATAACTCCATAATTCATTATAATAAAAGAGCATACTCTGATCTCACCTGCTGCTTTCATAAGGCCATAAATTGCTGTTACTAAACCATATGAACGATGACCCCTCCTATACAGAGAGTTATATCACTGACCTTATTTATAATTATTATAATGATGCTTTGTGTAAAATCAATTACAATGTTGAGGAACAGGTTGTTTTACAGTCTTCATACACAGAATCCTAAACTGTGACGCAGCTCAAATTCAATTAGAGTAAATAAAAATACAACTTGCTATTAAAAGTACCTTAAATACAACACTTGAGCACATTTATTAAGTTCATTTCCACTGTTGACAACATATAGAGAAGCACCAGCCCGTAACTTGATAAATGGAGGTAATATGTAATGAAAACAGTCGGGACATGACTAATAACTTCGATCCCGTGTAGTAGTGTTTGGTAACAGGTGCTATCAGCCAATCACATCGCTTTGTGAGCCGGTAGGTGTGGCCAGGTGTTTTATGAACAGCCAATGAGCTAACTTTCTTCTGCTGGAGAAAAAATGCATCGGAGACATCTGGAGAATTTGAATGCCTCCGATGCATTTTTTTAAAAGTTAGCTCATTGGCTGTTCAATAAAACACCTGGCCACACCTACCGGCTCACAAAGCGATGTGATTGGCTGATAGCACCTGTTACCAAACAC